ATTATTATTATTTACATTATTATTACGATTTTTATTTGAAGTCTTTGAACGCATTTTTGGGTTATTTGTGATGTTTGAAAACTCACAAAACTATGCACACTTGTCAAAATTAGTGAAAATAGATATCTTTATGGGTTTTAAGTTTGGGCATTGCAAATTGGCTCAGTAGTGCCTCCTAACAGTTTTCAAAGTAAAAGCCCTGACCTTTAACTTTCACGTAGAGAAACAAAATTTGGTATGCATATGTACCATGCTACAAAAAAGGTCTTTTCAGGGGTTGTACTTAAACAAACTCCTCCTACAGATTTGGTCCAATCAACTTCAAATTTGGTCTGCCCCATCTAAAGACCTTAGACATGATAAGTTGTAAATTTACTTAGGTTAGGTTTAGAAAAGAAACATGCTGATGATGTTCCTTAAAATAACTTCAAGTTACCTTGAGCCCCTTTTACACTGCACAAAAAACCCTGCTAACACACGCTAACCTCTGGTTTTTAATGTAATGGGAAATGTTACAATCAGCATTCACACCTGCGTCAAGTAACTCTGCAGCAGTCACAGGTATTTATCAGCTTTAGCTCTTATCAGTATTGACAACACCCAGGTTAAGGTACTAATTATAGCCCCTACACCAGCAAGATGCAATGACACACCAACACAAAATACCATCCATCTTCTCCCAAGCAACGCTCAAGCATCAATCCAAATTGGTCTGCACCGAATTTGAAAGAGAGACTGGAAAGGTAAGAGATTTATAGATAAGTAACCACTAGTCTCTATACAGACTCTACATTCGGTGAATGTAGAGTCTGTAGGCAAACCCCGGAGATTTTGCCTCCGGAAGAAGAGTGGAAGAGCCCTGGTTTCCGGTTGTAGGCTGTATGTAGTCAGTGTGATATTGACCAATCACGTTTGAGCCGGCTGCAGTTGTTGCCAGGTTAAACGGTCCATGCGGTTAACTAACGAGGCGGAACATAATTGGCGTCACTGCAAACTCTGAATCCATCGCAATGGTTCAGCATATTTACTTATATATAAATGGAAGTCGGAGACGGAAATTCGCCTCCTCCGCCCAAATCAAACCGGAATGCCAAAAAATCGGGGTCTGTCCCCAGAGGCTGTATCGCCATCTGCCAGAAGTCAGACACCAAATACAGCCGATGGGTTCCGAGAATGAGTAACCACCATAAGGTTTTCATAGGCCTCCATGCTGCTTTCTTCTGTTTACTAACCTGTTTTCTGGCCTGTCTGTAACATTGAACGTGACACACCAGAAAACACACACACACAGTCTGCTGCAGAGACGTGTACACAGCTCTGCTCTACTGGCAATGGGAGAGGAGTCTATGGCCTATTTCTCTCTTATGCTGACCTCCATCAACACATTGGTCAGTTCAAATAAACACAAGAAATTTGTGCTTTAGATAAAGGATCAGCGCTCAGTGAATAACCTCTTAAGCTCTATGATATTGGTGTCATCAGGTGGGAACCTCCTTTCACCAGTGTTTTGTCTAGTTGGTCCCATGACACCTCCAGGAGGCTAGACAGTGATCTCTGGCATCCTAGAGACACTCCCGTAATGCCCGGTCTCACTGCTCCCCGCACTAACCCAAAAACCTGCTTTACCTTATTTACACTTCTCAGCCCAAACAGCACTGCCACCTTCAACAAACCCAGGCTCCGGCTCACATTATTGCACGTGATAACAGATCACCTGCTCATGATTGCAAGGGATATATGCAAAATGTGGCGCATTACTTTTCACAGGTGTACGTACAAACAGTACATGAAATCAGCCTGAACTTTTCCTCTAGCACCATAATGAGGTCGACTTTTTAGTTCTTTATTCAAACATCTTGACAAATGTTGAATGTTTTGCTGTGAAATCTGGTACAGACATCAGGGGTTCATCATGTTAACTTTGATCTGTGGACTTCTCATCATGTGCTATCATCTGGTAAAAATTTTATTTTGTCCAATACTTTGATGTTCAACCTGAAAAACTAATATTTGCATCGACCTCAGCTGTGCTTTCTGTTTAGCGCTAATCCAAAAAAGTTTGCATGGTTAAACTCCAAACCGACACAGATGAGGACAGCAAAAAAAGTTGGGTTTCAGGGTTCGTTTGTTTTTCTCATTTTCATGTTTTAGGTTTTCCTTCTAATTCCTGCCTACTAGTGCTCACACACTGCACTGAGGCTGATAAACAGCTGCTGCTGACTAGCAGTAACAACTGTTAATTCCTGATGATAAAAAAAACAGCTTATCATTGGCAATGTTTCCGCACTACTTTAACGCCTCGCGTTCTACAAATGCTGGGTGGGTCTAGACTTTTCACACCGAAGGGGACAAGCTGACATGTAAATACCTTTTAAAGCAAACTAATTACACAAAACCTGCATGGAAGAAGTCAAAAATATTTGGGTTAACCCTCTTATTAGAGACATAAAAGGTGAGGAAACACAGGGAAATGATGAGCAAAAAGAGGGAAAACACATGCTCTTATCGCACAGTCACTCACTTCGCCTAATTAAGAGTGCTCAAGGCAGTGCTCCAACTGCCAGTGCTACAAATGGGTTCCCAGGTCCCCCCAGGGTGCAGAGTGTAGAGCGGCACCGGAACAGGAAAAAACAACAACTGCAGCATGATAATGCATTCACCAAAGATGTTACAGGGGGCTCCCCGAGTGGAGGAGTTCAGCAACAACATCAAAGGAGTATGTGTGTGTGTGAGTGTGTTGGGGGGGCGGGGGTTGTTACAGGGTATGTATTGATGTTCCTGCAATGTTAAAGCTTCTTCTTTCCTCCTCCCTAAGCCAGGCTGGATGACTGTGGGTAGATTGAGATGCAGTATCTTTGGCAGCAGAGCCAGATTGTCATGCAAAACTGTCTGATCTCAACTGCTTCACATGTTGGAGTGAAGCTGCACTATTGCTGCTGTCCTGGTGCCTCATTTCAGGACACACCAGAAGCCTAAAAGTGTTGTCTAACGTAACTAAATGGACTGAGCCTCTAGGTATTAACTGCTGAGGGGATGGAGGCAAATGAAATAAAAGCCCGTGGTTAAGGATAATTTGCTTTCTATTTCTCACCCAGACACAGGTACAGAGCTGCAGCTTCAGACAGATGATAGCCTCCCAGAAGGTCTCAAAAGCTGATGTTTCACACTCACATCCAATATGCTTGATTCAAGAACAAATGTGATGTGCCAGCAGCTAAGTCAACATGCAGCCAGATAGACTCATTATCAGTGAAATTCTATGTAAATGCAAATTATGGTGCTTCAGGATCACGTGGGAAGGGCAAAGATGGATGTCAGTAGCTCCCTGGATGTCAGAGGTGTGAAGCTGGTTAATTAATAGTGTTAAATGTGACACAATTATTTGGCAAAACTGGATACAACGTGAAAAAAAGGAAGGAGAGGGGAGGTAGGGTTAGGTGTTGTTTCAAAATGTCAACACAATACAGTTTCAGTAGCAGTATCAAAATGATACCAAGGAGGAGAGGAGAGAAGAGGAGAACTTATTCTGACAAATTTGACAAAGTTTGACATGAGATTTAAATCAGGACCGACTTGATCCGACGTGCCTGCGTTTGGTATTTGACAGCTTTCAATACTCATGTTCACAGACACATTTCAGTTGGTACCAGTGATGAAGTATTTAAGAGAGGGGGCTGAAAATAAGAATTGGTGTTTAAAAAGAGGGAAAGAGCTGAGAGGATGAGAGTGCGTTCATCCCCTGGCGTCTGTTAGCTGTTTCTCTGCCCTGGAGCGACAAAAAGGAAGAGGCAGAGACAAAATGGGGGGGAGCATGCTGAGATTCATCATCATCAGCACAGGAGAGACACATGAGGAAAAACACATTTTACATGGAAAAGCCATTTCCTCCATGTGGAGGAGATTAGCAGCCATGCATGCGCCTCCAAACCCTTCTCCTTGCATCATTTTCTCTCTTCTCCTCTCTCAGCGAGGGTGGCATGGTGCCATGCAAGTCTTCTCAGCACAAGTGTTGACAAAATGAATGAGGAGGCAGCCCTCTTGGCCATTGAGGAAAACAGGGGCCACACTCACACCCCAATGAAAGAAAAACATGCGCTGCAGGGGTGAGGACTGACAGCTTGACACATCCTGCTTTCTAAGTGCCAGGGATGCACCATATTTTTGACAGCATACGGGAGAGAGCAAAGGGGTCGCTCTAATAGCCCGGGGACTGCTGGGACTTCAATTTTGCCATCAAAGCTCAACCCAAAGCTCTGTCATTGCGTGTGGCGCTCAACGCTCCCCGTCTGGGTTTCAAGGGGCTCCTGTTTCTGCTGAAGCCATTGGCAAAACAATCCACCTCTGGCATGTGGTAATGTTATGTGGTCTGTCAGTTTCTCTGGCATCTTTAAACCAAGGCACTGCAGTGACAGAAGCCATAAACTTCTCATGTATTTCTGTGAAGAGTGTGGAGGATGCAGGATTGTGAAAGCATGTGACACATTCACACCTATGTGTTGCTGCATGGACTGAGAGCAGAGTCTTGTCAAATCAACAAATTAAGAGGTTTTTCTGCCCCCTAGTGACAAAAGCAAAGGGCCATTTTCAGCACCGGGGACAGTTTCTGCTGCCCCACTGCTGCCTTTAATCAAGAGCTCTCATATGAACTCAAAAAATCTGACATCAGTTTAAAAATCCCCATAGAAACAATCGACAGAGTGACTGCTTGTAATTAATTCTAATGTTTTGCACCCACAATTCTGACAGACATTAATATTGCACAAATATTCCCTCGCCTAAATTGGCAGCCTTCAATTAAGATTCCTTTCTCAGTGCTTGTAGAAGCGAGGGTGATGACATTTCTTCACCACAACAAGCGCAATGGAGAAATTACGCATGGGCTTCTAGCAATGTTGGCTTTAGACATCCAAAGGAATGCGTGCACCACACAGACTATTCCTTTCCATATGAGACTGAGAGATAAAATAACCAAACAGAAAGCTTGATAAATGATCACTCACCCTTCTCCAGACTGAGATTTCTGCAAACTTCAAGTTCTGCCATTTAGGACTGGAGTTCTCACAAGGTCCCTCCATGCGTTTTGGACATCATGTTTTTATCTCCTAATTGTGGCGGTTCGAAAAACCATCAAAACATGTCTGACTAGTCCATTTCTCCATGATGATTGGACGTTCACACGGAACGCGCCATGATGATGAAGTGTCACTTTTGTGTCCAAAAAAAAAAAAAAAACCCCGATCAAACTGCACCTCAGTATCTGCCTCTCCCGGCACGGTCTGCGGAGTGGCTTCACAAACCCATCAAAGCTCTCACATCCACAGCCGCTGCTGCTGCGCGCACATCCTCTCCTCTCAACAGGCGCAACACAGAGGCAGAACGATAAGCCGATTTCTCACACGCTCGTTGGACCGACGACGGAGAGTAGTTGTTAATAAGCAAGAGCTTAACACTGGCGTGGAGTGAGCGAGAGTGAATGATAGCGCACAGAACAGTGGCTCAAATGGCAGAGTTGGACATTGTGGACATTTCATCAGCTTTGCCTGACACTCTGGTGTTTGGAGACAGTTTGAATTCCCCACCAAACCGCTCCTGTCACATCCGTTTGTTTTTGCGCACCTAACATTATTCCTCGGTTTGTATCTGGAGAGACACAGTCACCATTGCGCAGGGATGCCAGCGCTGTGACCCACTTAACGCTCTCCGTGTGTGTCTCCCTTTAGGTGTGAATGTCTCCTCGGAGATGAAGCAGGAAACAGGCTTCATGAAATATGAGGGATGCTCCAGCAGTGCGCGCACACAGGGGCTCTGAGAGCAAGTTATGTGTAAACATGCATTATATGCTTTTCAATTGTGTGTGTGTGTGTGTGTGTGTGTGTGTGTGTGTTGAGTCAATTCCCTAATGAACGTTTGGTCAATCTAGAGTTCCCAGATTAGTCTTGCTCATTGGTCCACATTAAAGCCATTTAATTTAGGTTTGCAGGAGACAATTATGGAGTGACCAAGCACACACGCGCACACACATACACAGAGCAAACACACACACACACACACAGAGCAAACACACACATGCCCGCACACAATTGTGTTCAGACACTGTGAGACAGAGCCAGAGGTTACCAAATCGATTAGTGCTGTCTGCAGGAACCAAAAGACGTGTCAGACCACCTGTGTGTCCCACCAAGTTCAACGCTGCACGTCTTGTCCTCATGCACGCCATGCATTAGCAGGTACACGAGGCTTTCCAGTGATTACTTTGATTTAAGTTGTAAACCTTTTTTCTTCCACACCTGCCTGATCACACACAGCCCCCCTCCCTCCTCCCCTCACACACCCTTCTCACACTGATTTATGTACCATGGCCAAATGAAAACCATCAGCCACTCTGTCTTTCACAAAAGACTGGAAACAACTGGGAGGAAGGGAAATGGAGGCAGAGCGAAGCAAAGTCATGTGGAAAATAATCCAGGAAAGAGAAGACAGAGGCATTTGTTTTCAGAATGGTTCAGACTGACAGGAAAGGGCAAACTGTCTAGGACATGAGGGGGTGATTACAGACAGAGATCAACAGGATCTGAAGTTTAGTTAAGACACAACAATACTTAGACTTTTTGTTCTGATTCTCCTCCCTTTATTCCTCTTAAAAACTTAACAGCAGCTTCAACATAATAACTTTAAGCAACGAGATTAGTATCAGAATATGTTATCTTGCAAGAAATGGATTGGAGGAGGTGGAGGGGTGGTGCAAGCTGGCTTTTCCAGGGAATGTATGAAAATGTATTTGCGTTTCATGCTCAGTGAGCTATTCATTTTTCACTTGAACAACATTAATTACCCACAAGGTCTGGAAGAAGAGTCACTTTGGCTTGGAGAAACATATTTACAAAGGGAGATAATCTGTGAAATTCCTATAAATGTGGTAAAATCCTTATTTCTCAGCCTGACCGGAGGCAAAAGAGACACTTGTGTGCGCTCTGTCCATCAATCAATCCATCATCCACAGCAGAGTACTGAAGCAGTCAAGCCTGTTTTCTACTACAGTTCGCTGACAAGCAGAAAGAACACACTTGTACGGTATATAATACACGGTCTGCAGGGGTGGGATGTGGGCTGTAGTAAGTCAAGGTGAGGCTTTAAGTGGCCTGTCTGCTGTAGGTGTGACAGCCACGGATGCAGACAGAGATCAGAGATTTGTTATGGATTTGTCTGGCGGATCTGTCAGCGTGCAGCCTGACTGCCTCAAAACTCATAAATCATAATCAGATTGATGTCTGGTTTAAAGTCAGCTTAAGGGAGAATGAAAAATGCAGTATTTGCTCTAGTTTATTAAATCATATCTGATACAACATACTCGCATAAACAGGTATGCATATATGCGTTGGGGTATTCAAGCTGACCCATGCCGATATTAAGCTGAATAAAACATCCTCTCATACATGCTGAATCATAAAAATATCAGAGAAAAAGAAAAGAGGAGTGTTGAGTGTCTCTGTTTGATATATTTGACTCCACTGTGTGAGTATTAATATGTATGAATCATGCATGAGTAGAAACATATAGCACTACAAATCAGGTGTTGCAGCCTATTAGTACACAGATGGTTTCATGCTATCCTGTGCAAATGAAGCTCTGGGCAGTTCTTCTTTGCTGTCTCACAATGAGTCGGTGGCTTGCAGCAGGTTTTGTGTTCCAGTAAACAGTGATTAGGTTTTATTTATGTCACACGACTGAATCTTGGCTGTGCTGTCTACAATATAACAGGCTGAATACTTGAGGCCCAACAGTGGAGATAAGTCTCCCTCTACTGTTCATTCCCATGACATACAGCTATCAGAGAGACAATGTACTATTCATAATATTCTGTCCTTTCTATTCATCTGTTTGCATGTGTGTGTCTGTGTGTAATTGTACATGCTACAAAGCGAGGACCAAGAGATGTATTTTAGCAACATAGTGAGGACATTTTTGCAAAGTGAGGACATTTTGGCCGGTCCTCACTTTTTCAAAGGTCTGTTCGAGGGTTAAGGCTTGGTTTTAGGGTTCAGGTTAGAATTAGGTTAGGTATTTAGTTGTGATGGTTTAGGTTAGGGTAAGAGGCTAGGGAATACATTATGTCAATGAGGGTCCTCACAAAGATGTAGTAGAAGTATAAGAATGAGTGTTTGTGTGTGGGATATTCACCATGATAGGTGCTGTTGTCCGTCAGGAAGTGCCGGCGGTACTGTGGCTCTCCTTTCCTGTTCACCACCCAGGAGCTCATGGTGAGAGGAGGAGGGACGCAGGAGGGAGAACAATTGGATGACCTATGGAGGAGAAGAGACGTTAGCCATGTTGTCCAAACACTTTACAGGAATCGAAAAGTAATTTAATTTAAATGAGTCACTATGAGGGAAAATTGCTGAAAGTTGTCATAAATTGAGGATTCTCTTGTAGCGTTTACTAAAACCTGCATGTTAAATGTGCTACTAACTATGACTGACTATCTCTGCATGTATCAAAGATGTGTTTCACTGCTGGAAAGATATAAATAAAACAAGCTATCTGCAGTAAAAAGATGTAAACAGTTATGAAATTGGTGCAACATGACCAGAGAAAACAGAGAAAAGGGACTGTGGCATTCGCTTTTGCTCAAGAGGTAGAAAACCTACAACTACCAGAATGCACTCTGCCACACCAGACCAATAAACACTCCTCCTGGTGGGTAACATAATGGTGCGTTCGTTTTGCACTCAGAGGTCAGAAATTCCCAGTTCCCAGTCGGAAGTTTAAACTCAAACGCACCCTGAGATTGGATTTCCAACTCGGAAACTCGCAGCAACCACATCAACCCCAACTTACGTATTTAAGATGGCTGCTGGTCACATACATAGTGAGTAAACACTCTGCTAAAGTGCTGTTTATAGCAATTTTATCTTATTTGTTTTACATTAGGTCAGCCATACCCATAGTACTGTTCAATTTTTATCCATGGGCATGTTTCTATGCTGTCTGTATGTGCAAAATACCACATAGAGGATTGTTATCAACTGATATTGCTAACAGTGGCTATGGCGAGCTCAACGGTAGAACGGTAAGGGCGTCCATGTTTTTTTCCGACTTGTTCACCATTGTCAACTAGAATGCAAAAACTGTTGTCAACTCAGAGGTGACGCCATTCCCACTTCCAACTTCCGACCTCCGAGTACAAAACGAACGCACCATAATGCGAGGTTAGCTGTTTTTCCACAGGAAACAATATGGCAGCCAGCTGGTAACAAACAATCCTTGAATTACAGTTACAGTTAAACATTTGAGGCGAGAAATAGGCAATGCAGTAACACAAACTTGGTTTATATTTGATTAATACTGACAACTCTTACCATTTGATTGGAGTTTGGTTTGCATTTGAGAAAGAGACAGAGAGGCAGGTCTCTCTATCTGCTTCTATACTCTTTGAGTCTGTGGTAGCAGGCATACGAAAATGTGGAAGTACAATCTCTCTGTATGGGAATTGATTTGAGAGATGAGCAGGGAAATCTGGAATTTTACTACAGTTCATTTACACGTGCAACCCATGCTGTCATGATACAAACTATCCCTTAACTTTAACTACAACAGGAGCTCAAGAAAATGTGGTGTCAGAACTTTATTATTAAGTTATGTGCAAAGAAGATTAACTATGCAACTTGGGAGACACATCTCCAGAGTTATGTAACCAAAGTATAGAGGAAATTACAAAAAAACTTTCCCTCTACTGCAGCTGAAATTAATATTGTGACTCCACAGTTTGTGCGATTATGCTGAGTCAGAATCCATCTGCAGTTATTCAGTCATTTGTATCTTGTTGGTTTGCAGCACAAGACAAGTGTTTTAATCATTGGTTTGTGCAGTTTTTCTTAGTCCATGTTTTGCTTTTATTTTGAAATTCCTTCTTGTGGTAGCAGCATCACCTGCTCTTCCACCCCTCACCATAGAGTAGTATATGTAGTTCAGATCTCTTCAAAAGTGTTTCAACATGTCATTGAATTAAATGAAAGACAGCTTGTAGTTATTTTGGCCTATTTGACTCTTTGCTGTCTTTACAACTGCACCATGAAAACACTCTCAGATCCTCCTTATCTATCATCCTACCATTTCCCATCCCTCTATCCAGCTCTCTTTGTCCACCTTTTTGGCCCCTTTGAATTTCTGTATCTCTCTCCATGTGTTCTCATTCATCTTCCTCTTGTTTCTCCTCATCATTATTCCCGGATTCCTGATTTTCCACCACTTCCTCTTGATCACGTTTCATTCCTACCTCCCCTACTGCCAGTTTCACTGCTTAGTGTTTCCCCACCTGTTGCTTGTCTGTCTTTCTGTGATTTACTGCTTCCCACTATAAACACATTCTCACACACACACTCAGAAGCTGTATAGATCTGAAGAGGCTCGGAGCCTTTGGGACAGTTATTGGGGTCTGGTGCCGGCTGACCCGAGGA